AGACGCAGCGTCTCGTTCCCTCGAGGAACCAGGGTTACATACGTAACCTGAGACGTTCCTCTTCAGGAACTCGAGCTGCGTCGAGAACACTAGGGGAACGAGAATGCCCACGTCGCCAGACTTCCAAATCTCTGCCTAGTGTGGAAGACTGCACAGCTAGGGCGAGAGAACAAAAGAGCCCGGAGTGGCTAAAGTAGGCGGGGCTCGCCATCCCGAAGGCCAACTTCTGGAGGAGTGAATCTTGACCCCCAAAGGAGAGGGGAGATCAGAGGACTCGAGGCTATGGAATAGCATCCTGATCCACCACTTAGCCTAAGCTTCTATGGCCAGAGGCCTCGGCCTCAGCGCACCGTAGAGGAAATGTGTAAGAAGAGGGTGTCTTCCTACTGAATGGCCACCGAGAGGGGCGTGGTAGGCCGCAATGGCCGCCACGAAGCCCTCTAGGGTGGAGTGGGTCAACCCTGCGGATAAACAGGCCTGCAGGAACTCCAGAACTGTACCAAACGGGCAGTTAGCTGGGTCGGGCTGGCGGTCTCTGCAGAAATACAGTTTCCTCATAGAGAGAGCTCTGGATGGAGGATGGTCTCAACAACCTCGGTTGAGAGACAGGAAGTTATGAGTTGTGCCTCCTCAGAGGCCACACCTACAGCTCCTGGCGGGGGCGTGCCCTCCGCCTGTGAGAGGAGATCTCTCCTGACGGGAATCTCCCATAGAGCGCCATCGAGGAGAGAAATCAGGCCTGAGACCCAACTCGGCCCGGCCGGAACGGGGATACAAACAACCGACGGGCCCTGTCCCGGCGCACTCTCTCCAGAACTCCCAGGAAAAAAATCGGAGGAAAGGCGTACAGACGAAGCCTCAGCCACGTCTGTACCATGGCATCCAGCCCCAGTGGAGCTGGATGAGTCAGAGAGAACCAGAGGGGACAGTGTGATATCATAAGAGTCGCAACAGGTCCACCTGAGCCTGGCCAAACACTCTCCATATCTGCTTCACCACCTCGGCCCCTGCCTCGACAGGATGTCTGCTCCCAAATTGAGATGCCCAGGAATGTGAACTGCTCTCAGCGAGAGGAGTTTGCCCTGGGACCACACAAGTATCTGGTGCGCCAGCTTGTACAAGGGGCGCGAACGCAGAACTCCCTGGCGGTTGATGTAAGAGACCACCGTTGCGTTGTTACCAACATATGGTGACCTCTTAGGTCTGGGAGAACTCGAAACAGGGCCAGCATCTCCCGAAAATTGAATGCCATGTCAGATGGCGACCACTCCGACGGCCCTCAGACCCACGTCGTCTGCTAGGAAGACTAGACACCAGCCTGCTCGGGGCAGGACCCATCTAGATACCTCCGTAGAGGCAGCTCGCCGGAGACCGCTGCGGCAGGGTTAGCAGACCGACCTCCTGAGGGCACTGAGGAGAGACGGGCACCGTGTAATGGGGGGTACATCGCTCTTCCCCCGAGGGTTGGTGTACATCGCTCTTCCCCAGAGGGAGCTGGCCCTCAAAAAGTCCTAGGCCTTAGGCGTCAGGACATTTACGACGCAGACTATCCAGCGAGATTGACGGTCCGCAGACCCGCCTTCTGCTAGAAGCCTTCGGCCTGGGAGCTCCACTCTGACTCTAGACTCTGCGGAGTACGAGAAGTGAGGCCCCAAAAATGAGGGGCTGGTACACGGTGGGTTGGGACTGCTCCGCCCAGCAGCCCCTGCAAACCACCTCAACCTCCTCAAAGGAAGAGAGGTTAACGCGTGCTCTCACTCGAGAAATTTATATCCCCAGAGCCCCTGTACATCTAACTTCTCATAGTCA